TGTTTTTGATTATATAAATAAAAGGGGAAATAAATGTTTCCGAATAGCGTGATTTATGATGTCTCTTTAAATCGCACTTTATTCGCACGTGGTAGTTGTTTAGTTAAGTAGAGAAGTTTTATTTGCGCTAAAGCGTTGGGTATTTCGGTTTGTGTTTCAGTTTTTAGAAAATAATTAGATCTTGTTAGACGTGAATTCTTTCTGTTTTTACCGTTGCAATGTCGAAGCGTCGAAAATGTTTAACAGAACATGAAATAGCAGAAACGATGCAAAATATTTCAGATATTGATTCTGAAATTCAGATATTCTGATATTGATTCTGAAAGATTAACTGAAAGGCATTTTCCAAAACTTTGTTCAGAAGAGACTGATAAGAAAATGAGACGACGTTGCTTCGTTTGTTCACATTCCTGAAAAATCCTCCAAAACGGCAAATGAGTTATTACGAGTGCAAGGAATGTAATGTAGGACTGTGTGTAGATCCCTGTTTTCAAATTTTTCATACGAAAAGAGAATTTTAAGTAATATATTTAGTTTTCAGATGTATAAAAGTCATAAAATGGTGAGTAATGAAAATAAAATGTGTAAAATATGCATTTAAACAAGAAATAAGGCAATTAAAGTATATAGTATAAAAATATCTCTATCTCTATATATATAATATATCTCTATATATAATATATCTAAATATATATATTAAATACTCTATAGAGCATTATTAAACAATGCGTTGATACTTCGGAAATTTCATGGATTTAGGCTTAGTAGCAAAAAAGCCCCCGGCCCTGGACAGACGCTCGCGTAAGACACTGCCGGCCTCTGCGATAAGCGCGCATTTGCGCTACCCGGCTTGAAGGGGTTAAAAAAATCCAGATTAGCTTGTCGTAAATTTGTCTTACATCATTGCTGATTTTACTGTACTGCTATAAACAAATAAATATATATCAATAAACCTAAAGAAATGAAATGGATGTCATAAATTAACCAAAGGTGAAAGAATGGCAGAACTATTTCACTGAATCTGACTTCAGGAGACTGATATTTTCTAGACAATTTAAAAAGTTTTAGGTTTTGTTTATTTATTTTTGGAATGATAAATAAAGTTTAATTTAATTAATAGCACTTTTATTTACATTTTTTCCAACCATCAGGTTCTCAATGTTTTTCTCTAGGAATGTGAATGTGGAACCATCTTTATTATGGTATGTTTTCAGAAGTGAAGGATCTCCTTGAGATGTTTTTGATATTCTATCTCATAGCATTTCATAGTGATTTCATTGGGATTTATCTGTTACCATAAATGGAGACTCATGTCTCTACAGGCACTGTTCTTCATACATTGCTTTGAACACTGCTTTACTTAAACTGAAATTACCACATTAAAATTAATCCATATAAGGACATGTAAGAGTAATTGTTATGCAGAGGCTGTAAAATGCACAGTTATGCACTTAATCTAAAAATACTGAAAGTTGTGAAAACTATTTGTCACATTTAAACTGATGGAAAATGAAATCCTAGCACCAAGAATAAGTTGTGATAGGTAAATGAAATTTGGGAGACATGTTTATAGATCTAAAAGATAACATCCATTCAAATGCTTTGCTAGTAAGTGTAGTGCTAGTGATGCCACTATCAACATGCAAATCATGTTTGCTTTAAGTATTCAATGCAAACTTCTTAAGCTTTATTTAACTCCTGACTTGGGCATTGTGAGTGAAGTTCAGAGTCAAGAATGCATTTAAGACAACAAAGATAGGCACTATTGGCACCGTACTAAGTTTGAGTGAGGCCATGTAAATAGGGCTATGAGAAGGTCTTGAAGAGCTTTTCGCTCCTCCAATCTATCCCTTGATGAAGAACTAAATTATTTTAAAGCAATAGCTATTGACAGGGGTTTTTCACCCAACATTGTTAATCAAACAGTTAAAAAATTCTCATCTGAACACACTAAAAGTCACACTCTTGTTTTAGGAGATTATAAAATTCTGTTGTCATTCCCTTCTTTCCATCAATTAGCTATAAAGTTACGCATATTTTGCAGAAATTTTAACTTTCGGGTCTTTTATTCTCCCATCAATAAAATTCTGAGTTCCATACTCAAAGACCCCATTCCAGTATGAATTTCTGGGGTATTTATAGGATTCCTTGCCAGTTTGGTTTAATTTACATTGGCCAAACTAAGAGAGCCTTAAAATTTCGTATCAAGGAACATGAGACATATGTTAGAAAAAAGGAAACACAGAAGTCTTCTGTTGCCCAACATTGTTGGTCCGAAAATCACACTTTCAATTTTTCTGCTGCCAAAATTATTAAAAAATCATCTTCCATTGGAGAACTGGATTTTCTAGAGGCATTTCACATTAAAAAAAAAATCTTTCTATTTTAGTTAACGATCCTAATTCCAATCCATCTTTGCCTTCGGCCTTTAAAGAAATTATGTTTTAGTTCTAGTTTCATCAACAGATGGCGCCACTAGCTTTTTTCCGTCCAGGCGTTCTTATCTTAACTAATCATTATATCCTATCTCGTTCATTTGCACTTTTGCAGCTCAGAATGGTGGTTCGGTGAAACCATCGAAACTAGTCCTGTGAAAATTTGAAAATATAATGCTGATTTTGATTTCTGAATTTTAATATGAACAATTTTAAAAAATGCTTCCAAAATATGTAAAAAAAATTACGCTAAAAATTTCATTTAATTTTTTTCTTCCACTATGTCTTATGATGCAAACTATAATATTCTGAGATTCTCAGTTTATTTGTAAATATTTGCAAAAAATCGTTTCAACTTTAAATTTAAAAAAAAATCTAATCCTCTAAAAATCAAAAGCGTGACACCACATCCACAAGCAGTGTATGTACAAAGTTTGAGTTCTATACCTTATCAGGAAGCAGTTTAAAAATCCATGACCATCTTTTAACCATAGCGACAAGCACCAAGATAACAGCTTATAAAACAATAATAATAATAATTAAAAAGCATATATCTTTCAGGAACCATTACGAAAGTTCAGGTACCAGTTGCGAAAGTACAGATTACAAAATTAACAACAGTAAACAACGTTAAAAATGTGTAAACAGTATTAGAAATCAGCCAATTCGGAGACGTGATTGGTTGATCTTTACATTATGGTAACTTGGCGTTTTTGGCGAAAATTTCGCGACCAACTCTTCTACAGCAACTCTCTATTTTTTTTTCCCGCCGCCATTTTGTCTTCACGAAGTAAAGACATGTTTCTTTTCATTTTATGTACTGAACACTTCTTCCAACAATCTACTAGCCGAATTACACTTATGCTAGAAATTTTCTCTAACAAAACTGCTTAATCATGACAAATATTCACTGCAAAATTGGGAAAAGTGCACAATACCATACTCCTTACGCGTTTTTTCAAAATAACACATATACATAAACCATGTTACAACACGCCGACTTATTTTTACTTAAAAAAACATCCCAGAATTACACACAAAAATGGCATTGCGCACACTCTTCACTATATCCATGTACACTGCTTTTTTCTCATAAATTAGAAAAATTTCACGAAAATACATGACAATTTTCTGAATCTTTAAACCCGGTAAAAAGAACATATATGAAATTACCTGATCACGAAAAAGTTTATACCTTTCCAAATATGAACATTTCCACATATAAAATAATAAAATATCCAAAAACTTTTACCTCTACATTATCTATTATATTACAAACGTCACTAACTAATTCATACCTTTACTTCATTACAAATGGTTACAAATACTTAGTGTCAAATATTTAAATTATTTCCATGCACGTTTACACAAATTACTTTACTTCCACCTTACATTTAGAACAATGCATAAAAATAATATCCCCAAATAATTAAAAATACTAACTTACCTATTCTTCTTCATAATCTTGATTACGTGTCCAGTAAACTTTTCTTATTTCTGCTTCAGGATATTTAAAATCATACTTATAGTTCACACCAAGGTACCAAGTAAAATAAATAACTTAATAAAACATCTTTACTTCTATCTTGCACAACCTTAAAGAAACACTTATTACCCCTTTCAATCCCACTAAATACCCATTTCGAATTCACTTTAGTTAGGGCCATGGGATCCAAAAATTAACGAACACTGTTTCACACAACACAAAATAAAGGCAAATACAAAATTTCCAGATTTTTTCCCGATTTCCCCCCTTTTCCGATTAAAGAACCGTAATTCGTCCATTAATATGACATGACATATCACATGATCTCTCATTTCCCTCACACAAAATAATGCATAATCGGAACTGAGTACTGCTCACATTATTACCAAAGTCTCAGGTAGTAACCTTTATCGCCTCCAAAATGTCGCCAAACTACCAGTTACTATATTGTAAAGATCAGCTACGTGATTGTTCACAGAGGCTTAGGTGTAAAGGGAAGGAAGACGGTGGTCTTCTGAATGGGTCCTAAAGACGAAACTCTTTCATGTCTACTTTTTCTCCTCTTGCAAATGGCAGCTGTGTGAAGAAGCATTGCATGTGAATGGAGCTCTACAGGGCTAGTGGGGGTGGTTAGAAGTTAGCTAAGTGAACACTTGGAATCAAATTTTCTGCAGCATGGATGCATGGGACCAACAGAAGGAGTTATGGTCTGGGGAGGAATGACCTACGACAGCAGGAGCACTCACATCATAACTGCACACACTTTGACATCAAATTTATACATCGGGCAGGTTATTGAACACATGTTGGGCTGTCATTCTTGAGCATTATTTCAGGGGGCATTTTTTAACAGCATAACAGGTGTTGGGATTTTATTTTCCAGCAGTATATATATATGTGTGTATCCATCTTAAGAACATTTGTGTTATGTTAAGAGAAATTACATTGTTTTCAAATGTAAAAAACACATTATGTCTTATTTACTTAAGCTGAAATTCATTAAATTAATGTAAGTAAAATAAAGAAATGCTTATGCATTTTATATGTTATTATGCAGTTTAGCTTGATATTTTTTACAGGTTATGCTCAAGGGACAAATCATGGATTTCTGTAACTATTGCTATGCCATTCTTGTCATATTTTATCTACCATATTTATTATCTGACATTTGTTCAGTTTGACTATGGATATAACATGAAAGCCAACATTTTGATTGGTAAGCAAGATACAAATTTTAAAAAAGTTTTCTTTAATACTTAAAATAATACATGGAATAAGAATTTGTTTTTCAAATGTTAAGAACATTTTTTAAGGTTTAAAAACATGTTATTTTGATAATTAATCAAATTAATCTCACCACTTGCATCAAATTAGCCCTTTATTAAAAATGTTTGTTGCCCTGGAATATTAAAAAATGCATTAATAATTTTTTAGATTTTAAACTAATTAGGTAAAATTTTTTATGCATCTTTCAATGAATATATTTGATTTTCTGTAAAGCTAATAAATGATTTAATTAAAATTTTAAATTCCAATAAAATGTGTCATTATGCCTATGTGTGTACTTTTAAATGCTTCTTTGCTGTCTTATTTCCCATTTGTAGGATTGTTAAATTCTTGTGGATGGATGATGTGGTGCTATAAGCACCGCTACAAGCAGTATGTTTGGAAATGTGCTGTTTCAGTTTTAGCAGTGAATATGTTACTTCTATTGGAGCTTTGCGATTTTCCTCCGTGGAAATTCTTAATAGATGCTCATGCTCTTTGGCATTTGGGAACCATTCCAGTGCCTTTACTTTGGTATAGGTAAGTGGTCTAGTAAAGATGTTCAGTTCTTGTTTCTACTTTTGAAAAAATAATTTATTTTCATCTGATATAAATCATTAAAATCTAATATATAATATAAATCATTATAATATCATATAAATAAAATCTAATATAAATCATTATCAATTTTTTAAAGAAAAATTACCATAATTTCAGATAGAAAGTCACCCTGGTGTATACACCACATACATGATAATTTTTTTTTAAAAGGAAAATTCACTGGATAAGCTGCACCATTATATACCCTGCGACAAAGCATTCTGAAACATCATATGTAATATTCATTTATTCAGTAATTCTCTTCCATATTGGTATAATCATCATTGGTAGATAGTATTTTATAACATTTACAACCTAACTATAAAATGTAAATAAATTTAAAAAAAAAAAAACCTCTGATTTCTGATAGAAATTATTTTTATGAGTTTCGTAAACTTTGCTTATCACCATAAATTATCATATTATGGAAAAAAGTACATGAGGTAGATAATTGAACAGAATTTTGTAATTAAAATAAACTAAATTTATTTATATCAAGACCACTTTTATCATTCTGTTTTAAATCGCTTATTTCAACATCACTGTCTTCATTTAATTTTTTTCGATGATGTTTGATTCAGTGAAAGCTGATACGATTGTATCGTCTTAAACTGATTTACCATGCTTTATCGACCTACAAGACAGCCTCCTCATATGAAGCTTTTCTTATCCATCTGGAATTTGTGAAAGTATAAAGTCTGCTTCATATTTACTCTTTGCACTGAAGTGTAGTTTGTGCTTGAAAATTCTTTTGGTGGGTGAGATCCAGTGGCTGTAAAATTTTTTGAATGCCCACCTGGTATTAGTGATATGACAGCGCTAAGTCTTTTTCTACAGATTTTATGGTAATCACTAGATGGCATCGCATTGAATGATGCATCCCCAGGGTTGGAAAAGAAAGCAGTTTTCCTTTTTCAGTAAATTTTTCTCTGTCAAAACAACATCATTTCTTCATACATCCATCCATTTTTGTTTGCACAAGTAATGACCCGTTTAGAAAAGTTTTCTTTTGAAAATTATCAGAAAGGTGACCTTCTCTGTACTGGTGGCACAACCTAGAACAAAAATAAAATAAAGGCTTTTAATTCCCATTTTTTAACAAAGAAATAATTTTACATGTTGAATGAAAGTTCTGCTGAGAGGGCAGTCAAAAATAATGGACACCTTGTAGTACTTATTTTATCTCTATTCAAATTTTGTTGTTTAATTTTCTTAGATGTATACTCCAAAAAAGTTTTTCTTTCTTTTTCTTTTTTCTTTTTTTTTTTTTTTTTCCTTCCCAAGCCTCTGTACAAGAAGTTTCTGTCCAACTGTTGTTTTGGTCCTGATGGATCATGTCTTTCATGTCATAAACCTGAAACGGGAAACACAAATTAGGTTCTCCGACAAAGCTTTTAATGTCCATTTGTTGAGCAATTACTTTTGCTTGAAGGAGAATTCTAACTGTTGACACTGATAATCCTTTTTTTGTCTTGCTCTTTTTTCTTCCAAAACAGGCCAGGCTATGACACCATTCTGAGATCTTTTATTCCTAGCCATTTTCTTTAATTCTTATTCAGAATTCCACCACTGAATGCATCTCTTGTAAACTTGAAATCTCTAGTCATAACCTAATTTCAAATTTATGCTTTCTTCACTGCCAAAAGCTTAAAAGCAGCTGTATAACATTTTCTTTAAGCAGGAATGATTATCATACTAGCTTTTAAAATTTGACAAACACGAACGATAAAGTTAACAATAAACAAGTCACTAAGCAGTGAGACACGTGTACGAATGAACACAAAATTTGGTAAAATAAAAGTCCCTGTGGAAAGTGCGTGTGTTTACTTCTGTTAATAAGAAAATTATTGTCAGAAAATGCATACAAAACCACAGAGTCAAGCAGAGTGGCCTCTTTACACCAAGCACACCCTACCCATAGTTAAGTGAGTTTCACGCAATTTCAGACTTGTTGCACGTAACCTGTACACTTGTGTCAGGCTAAAGAATTGTAGCAAGTTCTGCATTAACTGTTGTCTCGTGCATAACTTAGAATGCAGCAAAGTTCTAAAGACAAAAAACAAATAAATAAAATGCCTTCAGATGCGGTGCAGTGCTAAATTTTGAATTTTTAAACTTTACTAAAAGCTTATCTACTCAAAATTTGGGTAACTGTTTTATGAAGTCTAACTCAGGCTAATTTTAACAGCCACAATCAACAAAAATCATTTCTTTATTATTCTTAATTTTTTGTTTGAAATGAAAATGAATTTTTCTTTTTTTTAGTTTTCTTATAGAAGATTGTTTATATGAAAAGAAAATACATGAATACTGAGCTTTAAACTCATCAAAGAAAATGTGTACTGCATTATAAAATGAATAGAACATGTGCATTTATTCTGTTTGTGCCAACAGTTCATTCATTATGTATTAATGTGATTTTGGAAACAAAGTGCCACATTAGCATTTTAGTTCATATTATTATAAAGAAAATTAAATGTAGATGCTTTCAGCATTTAATGTTATGTATATTTGTGATTTTGAACATGGCTAAAATATTACTTCAATTATCATCCAGAAAAGATGTTATTATAAATTCCATTAGTTTTCGTTTTGATTTGAGCATGATACAGTATTTAAATGCTCTTTCCCGCAGCAGGATCATTATATATAATGTAAAATTTTGTTATAAAAATTAAAACAATTAAGTTTAACCTAGTCAAGCTTTTTGGATGATTTATGTGATTGTAGCTCTGTTCTTATATAACATGAGTTATGCTCTGATCTTTCATTACATTGAATACGCCTGTAATATTAGTATTACAAAACTACTGATCAAAGTTGTGGATTAGTTAAAATTTCAGCATTAACTGTACAGAAATTATAATTCATTAACACTTGTTACTCTTGAAGTTTTGGAAGTTTATTGACATTGTTTGAATGTTATAATGTTCATTATATTGAAGTAAAACTTCAAAATGTTTCTATGAATTTGTGATATATATTGTTATTTGATTAATATTTATGTATGTAAATGTTTCTCATCACACAGCTTTGAGCATGTGAGTAATCAAAATATAAAAATGCATATCATATACCTTAACAGAATTTTTTGAGTTTAAATTTTTTATTGTGTATAAAAATAGAATTTATAATTAAATTTATTTATGTGCTAGTTAGTAATAATGGTAATGTAATGATTTATTTATAAGCAATTGTTATAAATATTATTTTGCATGATTTTTCTAGAGATAAAAATACTAGTATGATAAGGAATTATGTTTGTAAACATGAACCTTTTAACAGACATTCAGAATTATTTTACTTTGTTTTTAATAGTGTATGATGCTTCCGATTCATTTTTGTAATGTCATGGTAAAAATACATTTAAAGTAATTTTTATTTTATAGAAAAGATTAACTTTATAATTAAAAATCTGAGCAATATTCATTGCTCTTAATAAAGAGTTGACACTTGAGCCAGAATGTTGTTTAAATATATCTTGCCATTTGTAAACCATTTTATCACAGTTTTTTTTAATATATATATATTTGTATACTTTGATGTAGAATTTTGTTCTTTAAGTGCATATTACATAATTTTTTAATAAATGAACTATATCATATTGAAATATTTTCTTCCTTGAATTTATTACTGCATGTTAATAGCTCATTAACATTTGTTATATAAAATGAAAAGCTTCATATCTATACAAAAATTTTAGTTCAAATTAATCTTTACTTACTATAAGAACACTGTACAGATCAGCAATGCAGTTTTTGTGAATTTAGTTAAATACTATATATTTAATACATCAAAATGTGTTGTTATTCTATTTCCTCTTTTAAAAGTGCTAAAATCATCAAAATATCTTTTTCAATAGAAATATTGTAGCATGAATTTGTGTGTGATCAATTTCATCAATGTAAGGAAAATGAGAGTGTTGTAGATTTAAAAATACATAAATAAATTTTCTATGGGATATTTCAATACTGTATTTCTTTGCATATTTTCCTCCTAGCGTTTAAGCAATAGGTTATGAAACGTTTTTAAATAATCATGTAAATCATGTAATTTCCCTTTCCTCAATGTGTTCAGAGAGAGAGTTCCCCTAAATTTCAAGTTATAGCTAAGTAGAAATGAAGATATCTCAGTAGATATTCTAATAGTAGTATTACTGTATATTCTTACTGGAATATAGGTTTCTTTTAAAGAAATAATATTGTGATAATTATCTGTGGTTTATTTATGACTACTTTTCATGTGTTGTGTTCTTACTGTAACTGCATCCTTTGAAAATTAAGTTATTCACATAATTTTTCCTCTTAATGTGTGGACAATAAAATTCATAAAGAAGGGGGAAATATGTGAGAAAATGCATTATTAAAAAAATTAATTAGCTATTTCTTAAGAGAGGTTTGAAACATTTTATGCACAGTTTTCTAGTTACCAACTTAACATCGATATTTTCAGTTTGGAAAACAATTTATTTATTAGTTTGGCAAATCAGTTGTGAAGAACGAAAGGTTTTTGCTAAATGGCATACATATAAGAAAAATGTATATTTGAGGATGAAAAAAATTACCAAAAATACCATTACAACCAACCATGCGTGTTTTGTCAGATGAGAGCTTGAGACTACGTAATATCCAAGAGAGTAGGTGAAGTGCTATAGACAAATTTCAAAAATAGTAGCAGATTTCATTAAAATTGAGTGCTACAAGCTGTTGATATTTAATATGAATAAAATTGTAGATAAAACTTTTGGAAGATACAAACAAAAATTGTATTTTAAAGCATTGTCATAGAAACTCTCTTTCTTAGAGGTAATGTGGGTGATAATAACACATCTGAAACGCATGAAAAACATTAATATTTTCTACCATTGTCAGTATTCCATTAGATTAATGAGGAAAGATTAATATTTCCTCACTAACCTAATGAGAATTCCCATTTAACTTCATCTCATTGCACAATTGCTTAAGCGCACCTCTTATTCAACCAGACACCTATGCTGTTCCAAGTGAGCACAGATACGCCTCATTAATGACAGACCTGGTGATCTGGCTTGCCAGAAAAGAGTAATAGTATAGTGAAGGCATTTCTGTGACATATTTTTTTTTAGCATTGTGCTGTTAAAAAGATGTCTTGTGGGAACCATGCCATGAGTGACAATACATGTGCTTGAAAGATGTCATGGTGCTGTGGATCAAGATTAGAGGTGACTGGTTGTGGTATGGGATGGCACCCCACACAATTATTCCATCTATGGAAGCAATGTGCTATTGTAAAGCAAAGGAAGGATTGAGGCATTCACTGCAGAGCCCCTACAAGTATACATAGTTGTTATAACTGTCCAAGTTAAATCTTAGTTTGTTACTGAAGATCACCAGATTCCATTTGGTTGTGATCCGATCCCATCAAGGTGTGACACTACTTCAAAGTAGGTAACCGTAGGTGGATGTCATTAGTAGCACACGTAATGAACACTGCAATACAAAATGTCCTTTAACCAGGTACATCATAATGGTACAAACAGGGGCATGCCTATATTGGAAGTGCTGCTTGTGCCTGGATGGGAGACAGTAATTGAAATGGTGCTATGCATTCAGTCTGCTGAGGACATCCTGAGCCTGGCCATTGTGTAGGCAGTCTTTCATCCTCTGATCCCAACAACTCTTTGCAATAAAATCCAAGTGGTCTAGGTAGTAGGCTGCTTGCCAAATTGACTACCCAGCTTCCAACATCCTGATGAATCTTTCCCCTCTTTAATTCTTACAGCTGATTATATTGTCTTCATTAGCACTCTAATGACATCCCTAGAACAGATTAAGTACAAGTGAAATACGTCTACATATTTTTTATACACTAGGGAGAACAAACGTGACTGTCCTGCGGTGGTGTTACTTAATGTACAATTATGCTATGTTTCTAATCATTTGCATATCTACCTGACATGTAGTTTCATGCCAAGTTTCATTATGATCCGATAACTACTATTTTGTTCACAAATTTTTATAGCAGTTTGTATAAATTTTTAATGACATTCACCAAGTATTGACAGGATTCCATCATTCTCATTTAATTGCTGTGATTAGAATGAAACCATTCTCAGATGGTTATTTAAGTCAGTTACTGCTCTAGTCTGATTTGTCAGGTAAGCATATGTTCAATAAATTACATAATGCAACTTTATCAACTAGAAATTTATTTGGCATGTATCATCCATCATATTCGTTGTTGGATTTAAATATGCGATTTGAAAATTTCTTATATCTTTTTCTCCTAAAAAAATTACCAAAAATACAACAACAATATAACCAGCCATGCATGTTTTGTCAGTTGAGAGCTTGATGAGTCTACACAATTTCAATAGAGTAGGTGAAATGCTATAGACAAATTTTAAGAATACTAGAAATTTCATTGAAATTGAACATTACAAGCTATTGTTGATATTTAATATGAATAAATGTAGTTTCAGTTAAACATTATGCAACTTAATAACATGTATTACTAATTACTTTATTGACATATATTACTAAAATATATATACTATTCTGTATAACATCCCCATTCTTCAAATTTAAATAAGGTCAAATTTTGATTTAAATTATTTATTGATTCTATTTAATTAAAAATTTCCTTACTTCAATACTAAATATGAGGTATTTTCCACAAAAATATCTCATGTTATCTGTGAAGAAAACCTCTACAAAGGCAATAACTTTTTAAGCCAAACTGTCCTTGAATCCTTGCTATAATTGATAAGCAAACATTTTACATGTAGAAAGAAATCTAGACGTGCATGGAAACAAATATGACACACTATTTATTTCCCAGTATTAATAACAAGATAATAAACAACAACTTGTTGGAAATAAAAAGTGAAAGCAATTCTAGCAAGTCGTTATGTTATGCATAAAAGTTGAGCACAGGTAAGAGATGGATGAGAGAAAAGTGTAGTAGACGTCGGATAAACCAGAGTAAGTCTCTAGGGTCAATCTGACTAAAGTTCAAAACACACTCACAGGAAAAAGGAGTGACCCATATAAAACAGTTCAATCTGGAAAATAAATCCATTTGATTATGTAAATTAAATCAGCATTTAAATCGAGAACAACACAGTTCAAAACGGGTAGAACAATATTTTATGTATATTATTTTATATTTCAATAGGAGTCAACGAAATTCTGCACAATTAAGTTACATATTACTGTGGATAAAAATAATTCCTAAATATTACCACATCATCTGCTATCACTGCCCATGCATTTTCTTTTCCTTTTTATGTTTCCCTACAAATATTTCTTTATTCTGATCATTTGTGAGTTTTTTGTCACACTAAATTAAACTTTTGTTTAGACAAAGTCTGAGTAATTGGGAGTTGACTGTACTTATTAATTTGACTTCTTAATAAGGAATAGGTCCATTTTGTGATGCAGCAAACATAATGCCAATGTATGCCCATTATTAAGTGACTTAAGGGGGTTCCTGAAACAGTTCAGTTCCCTTTTTAAAGCATGAATTATGCCTTGTTTGTTTTCTAGCAAAGAACAATGAATTGGAGTTCATCTCCCTGTAATGTCTTATACATGCTCAGTATGGTTGATAACTGTGTAGCATACAGATCGCTTGATTCATGGATATCTTCTCATTTCAGTAGATTCTAACGCTTTCAGGTTTCAGGAAGCATATCTTTTAAGAGACAATAACACATCATGTATTATTATTATTATTTCTGCTTCTTCAAATTTCAGTGGTCTGGTACTGTTTGAAAATACTTTTCATGGTTTTAGATACTGCCACAGACAAGATCAGTTTTTGAACACGTAGCTTACATAATTTAAATATTGAAGCAAGCTTTTGTTACATGTGGGTTAGTCATCTGGCTTTGAGACTCACCAATGGCTGAGTGATAAAGTCACTGAACAATAGTAGTTCTGTTTGGGGCTCAAATCCCACCATGTAAACATGAGGGAAAACCACAAAAATACTCATGCAGCCAGTCTGTTCGAGTCATTTTCCCTTAGAATGTCCTCTATGAAAGCATCCCTCCCCTTAGCTGCATTGCATAATCAAATAAGCCAACCCATCCCATGTTGATTTTCAGCTGTAATTGCTAAATATCAGTCTTCTTTTACAGTCATATTGGGAGTGCAATTTCCTGCAGTACATTACTTCCAAGCGATTTAAAATGCTGGCCAAAATTTGGAAACAACATATTGCACATTTCTAAATTTCTTTTTGCAATGAGGGCTATTAGGATAATAGTCTTTAAGATACGGTGAAAATTCAGGGTTATCAATTTTATTCATTCATGCTTAGAATTTGTAACAAACATATAGGTAGTGCTAGTTTATCTTTTATTTTCTGCTTTTGAATTAATGTGACTCTTGGGGGAAGAATGGGAAGTTCACACTGTTACTGATTTTCAGTTATGCAATTTGTAACAAGTTGATTCAGATTTTCTAATGATAACAGTGCTCATCCTTTTGGATACTTGAATTTTAAAACATTATTTCCCAGGAATAGTGCCAATTGATGAGAAGCTGTGAAGATGAATAGCATGTTAAGAAGTCAGTTTTTCAGATTTTAATATACAACCATGGCCAGAAAAGTACTTATCTGGTCATTATTTTCATAGCTGTCTGTCATACACATAGAATTCCAAAATTGTTTTAAAGGAGAAAATATATTCATGTTCCAGTAATTTGAAAAGATTTCTTTTTAAATTACAAAATCTCACATTTTTTACAAGTTTCATAGTCATATTATATATTCTGGAAAATTTTATGTGTGTTACCGACAAAGTATGAAAATGATGCCAGATGTTTTTAGGCAAAGTATGAAAATGAGAATTATTACATACTTTCCCTTAGCATTGTATATAATACCTAGGCATTTTATAGAATGACAGATGCTCCTGGCAAAGTATGGGAAAAAAGTTATGATAAGGCTATTATTTAAAAGACGTTCATTCCTCAAAAGTACAAATGTTATTTTGAAAAATTAATAAAAGATTGCCATTAAAAAGCTGTTTTTCAAAATATGTAAAAAAAATGCAAGATCTTGATACAATATAATAATTTTGTATTTTCTATCTGGCTGAGACAGGGAATCAGTAAGATGTACCTAACAACAGAAATTAAAGTCGCAAACAGTCATAAGTTTCGCAAAAATGCCATTTTGTTTTTTCTGGCAGAGCTCACAAAGGTGGTTTGTACAGTTCAA